CTCTCTCTCTCTCTCTCTCTCTCTCTCTCTCTCTCTCTCTCATCTCTCATCTCTCATCTCTCATCTCTCACGCTCTCTCTCTCACTCCCTCTCACTCTCTCTGCGCCCTCTATCTCAGCCTCTCTTCATCTGATGTACGTATATAGACTGCTCAGCAGCGACAGCTAATGCTGGGCTTACATGTTACAGTGTGTGATCTTGCTTCGCTCGGCACACTTTCATGTTCTAAAGCTTAGCGCAGACCTGCGACTTTTTCACGCAACTCGACAGCGATTCTAGAATCGCTGTAAAAATTGCTGCGAAATCACTAAGTCTGCGGGAATGTGCAACTGCAACCCGTAGCCATTCTGGTCGCTTGCGACGAGTTGCAAGAAATCAAACTGTTTTGATTTTGAGCGACTCGTCACTCCCAATCGCTCCCAAATTGCTCAAGAATTGCTTCGAAATCGCATGTGTGCGCACACGCGGTGGTGACGCATCGACCGATCGCATGCGGTTGCAGGTTGCAGCAACGAGCAACCAAAATCGCAGGTCTGAGCTAGGGTTAACGACCACCGTTCGCGCACCGCACGCGCCTCAGTGCCCCCTGTGACCGCGAAATATCGCTTGATCAGACCCCATCTCCCCAATCTCCCTAAAATGAAAACACTATTCAGTGCTGGTAAGGGGCGAGACTTATTCTCATCCAATTTATTCTTCCTAGACTAGATTATTAGTTAGTTATTAGACTTGTTGCTTTCCCATTTGATGGTTTAGGTATTAGATAGGGTTAGAGTTAGGGTTAGGGTTAAGGTTAAGGTTAGGGTTAAAGGTCAGGTTAAAGTTAGGGTTAGTGTTAGGGTTAGGGTTAGGATTAGCATTCACATATGCTTCACAGCTCCCCCCACCCCTGTCGGCACCTACCTTGAACAGAAGTCTGGGTTAGGGTTAGGCTTAGGGTTAGGGTTAGGGTTAAGGCTGTCCCCTGCAGCACCTACCTTGAACAAGGGTCTGGGTTCGGCAAGCAGGTCCGGCTCCTTGTCCAGTGTGCCCCACATGTAGGCGAGCTCGCATGAACGCCGCTTCCATGACTCCAGGTACAGCGTTGCCCAGATCACGTTCACGAACGCGAATATCACAAAGCAGGCATCCTCCATCGCCTGCAAGCCAAACAGAGAGAGGGGGTACCAAGCTGAGCAGAGAGAGAGAGAGGAGGTGCCAAGCTGAGCAAAGAGAGAGAGGAGGTGCCGAGCTGAATAGAGAGAGAGGAGGTGCCAAGGTAAACAGCGAGAGAGAGGAGGTGCCAAGCTGAGCAGAGAGAGTGGGTGGGTGGATGGATGGGTGATGATGGGTGGATGGGTGGTGGATGGATGGACGGACGGACGGACGAACGGACGGACGGACGGACGGATGGATGGGTGATGATGGGTGGATGGGTGGGTGGATGGATGGA